TAGAGCTGCTCCATAGAGTTTTCTTGCCTGTAATCTTTATGGAAGCAGATTGCCAGGCCTTTCTTCTGTGGTGCCTCTGGGTGGATTTGAATCACTAACCTTTAGGTTAATAGCTGAACGCAAACCGTTTGCACCAGATTCAGGAAAACTTTCCTAAAAAAAAAAAAAAGAGAGAGAAAAAGAAAAAAATTGAACTTGACAGAAAAACACTCTGCGTACCTAGACGAAAAGAGCAAGTGATCAAGGTCAACAACATCAGTGGAAAGCCATGCACCTTTGATAGTATGTACCTTTAATATGATGTGAGAAGTATGGCATTTTACCTCTGTGGTGTGCCACAGTAACGAAGGAAATCTTTGTGGTGATGGTACCGTTGAGTATCTTGTTCGTGGTGATGGTTACACAAGACTATACATGTGACAAAAGTACATAGATCTATATACACACACAACTACACACACACAAACGACTTCACGTATAACTAGTAAAATCTGAATAAACTCTATGGATTGCGCCATGTCAATTTATTGGTTTTGATATTGTACTGTATTGTGTGAAATTTCAGCATCCGGGGCATGGGAGTTTGGAGAGGGTTGCATGGGACTTCCTTGTGTATTCCTTAGCAACCGCCTGTGAATCTATAATTATTTCAAAATAAAAGTTTAAAAAAATTGGAAAATTGTAGACCTTCTGGAGATATCAGATGTCAACTAGCTTAGATAATTATATTCATGGGGGTGTGACACTGAAACGAGCTGACACATCACAGAAACTGTTGTCTGGCTCCACTGTCTTCTTGCCACCTCTGCTGGCAGAGAGCTGGGACAATTGTTTAGTTTGGGAATGGATTCAGGGGTCTTCCGGAATATAGAGCATTGCTGGCTAAAGTGGGAGTTTACAACTTGGGTTCGCAACTGGCTGTGGAGGCGTTAGTGGCAAAGGTAGTGTGAAGGGCCTGAGTGTGTAGAAGGGGCAGAGAAGCACTCTAATAACTCCATTTTTGTTGAGAGCTGACTTTGTCTTCCGGAGATGCACAGAAGGTCTTGAACTTTTCTTTAAGCTCCAGTTACTGCTGTCAATGGAGTCCCTGGGTGGTACAAATGGTTAACATGCTTGGCTGCTAATTGTAAGGTTGGAGGTTCAAATCCACTCAGAAGAAAGACCTGGCAATCTACTTCTGAAAAATCAGCCATTGAAAACCCTATGGAGCAGTTTTCCTCTGACACGCATGGGGTCTCCGTGAATTGGAATCAACTTGACAATTATGAGTCAGAATCGACTCGACGGCAATGGGTTTGGTTTTGACGGCAACTGGTACTGCGGCCAACACCAAAATTTTCTCAAAGCACATTTAGTTTTTTATTTACTTTCTTTATCCTTTCAGAGGAAAGCTTATCATTTAAGAGTAGCCAAGAGTTATTAGGACTTGTCTAAGAGTGTAAGTTCAAGGAAGCCTTGTCTTTCTTGCTGTCTTATATCTCTGGTGCCTGGCAATGTGCAGGCACTGAATAAATAAATGAATGCATGAAAGACTTGATTCTAATTTTTTGTCATTGTCTTCTTTCGTACATTCATATCTATCAATTGTATTAGGATAGGATAGAGGACGCTGAGGTAACAAATATCCCCAAAATTTCATTGGCTTAACACAATGGTGGGGAATAAAGTTAAAAACTAAAGGTGGGACCTGTTTGGCAGGTACACAGATGAGAACTGGAGACTTTTATACATGGAAAGCATGGCAGAGTTCACTGAGAGCTTAACCCCTCATTTTCTAGAGCAGGCAAGTGAGACTTACAGAAGCTTTGCTTCTGGGCATGGAGTTCTTTATTGGCCAAGCCAGGAATACAACCAAGGTCTCTTAACTCTTACTCCAGTGCTCTGTCCACCTAACAGAGGTGCGTTAAGTGTTAAGAAATCAAGTGCAATAATGAGAGAATATGTGTGATTTCTAACTCCTTGGTTTTAGCACTTCTCATTTGTCGCTTCCTAATTTTACTAATAGGAAGAACAATTTGGAGCCAGTTTTTCCTTTAATTAATCCTGGAAATAAAAGCCCTCGTGACACTTTAAGACAGTGTATCGCCAGAGCTTTATAATAATTAAAAATCTGGATATTGGCATTCCCCCTAAAAGTGAAAGTATTAGTAATAACAAACAATGGAGATATGCCTTGGCATACCACCGCTTCCCACTTTCCCAATCGCTTTTACATCCATTCATTGGGCCCTGGTGGCTCAATGGTTGAGAGCTTGGCTGCTAACTAAAAGGTTGGCAGTTCAAATCCACCAGCTGCTCCTTGGAAACCCTATGGGGGCAGTTCTACTCTGTCCTATAGGGTCGCTATGAGTCGGAATGGCCTGGATGGCAATGAGTTTTGGTATTATTTGACCAATAAAGAGTCTTTTAGGAGCTTGGGCAAGTCCTTAAGCTTTTCACATCCCATTGTCCTTACTCCTTTTGGCACCTGTGGCAGGTTAACATCTTTGAAATGGTAATCGATTTCCAGCACTCCTGCTCCTGCATTAGTCCCTCCCCTGTATAGGCAACTAGGCTGGTTGTGCTCATTCCCTCAGGGTATGTATCTGACAGCAGAAGCAGAGAGGAAAAATTCAAAAGACATTTCTTCCTGACTTTTGAGTTTCAAATGTCTAGAAACTAGAGAAATAAAAAGGATTTAGGCATAGAGAAACAATTAGGAAGGAAGTTGGAGCAAGGCTTCTTACGGCCCCCTCCTCCTTTCTTTCCCTCCAGGCTAGAAAAAGATTCCCTGTCTCTGGAACTAAGATTCTGCTACGTTGGTGGAATGAGGTCTTAAAAATAAATTAAATCGAGCTTCAGAAAAAAAAAATTAAATGTGTATTTCTTCCACCCTTCTATTTGTGGACTGAGATTCATACCAGCTACACGTATGGACACATTTGACTTTGCCAAGAATCTTTGTCAGCACATTGCAATTCTACGGAATGATTAACCCCCCACAAAGTTGAGCCAATCCATTAGGCGGCAACAGCTTTGTCCCTGAGTGAGGAGCTGGCAGGAAGAGATTAGGTGGGCTCTCGGAAGTCATTGCTGATTTCAGAAATACTAAGGTTCTAATGAGTGTGAGTTAGAAAGAGGACTATATAATGCTTTAAAGTTTTCTGGTTGGCTCAAGATGGCTAGCAGAAGGGAGGAAAAAGGGGGCAAACTACTTTGTTAGAGTTTGCTAAGTTCTCTGAGTCTCGGGAGACTTACCTAAAGCACAAATGCTCCAACCATCCTGCCATATAGTCTACTCCTGAAGTCAGTGGTGTCACCAGGGTTGATGTCACCCAGTGCAGGAACTCATGGTGTCACCCCGCCCCATGCTAATTACCACAACATTATAGCTAACACACCAGAAAATTTGATAAAATCGGGGACTATCAAAACATCAGCAGCAATGAAAACAACAGCGCATTTGTAGTGTGTGTGTGTGTGTGTGTGTGCGCATGTGTGCGCGTGTGTGCGCGCGCGCGCGTGTGTGTGTGTGTGTAGGTGAAACCACGTGACTGGAAGCATCTTTGTAACTGGGTAATAATGACAGCTCTGACCAGAGCACATTAGGAGGTTCTAAAAGTAAATTAGCATAGAGTGTCAGCGTAGTAGGTATATTGATACATGTAAGCTGGGCTTGTGAAAAGTTTTTTTGTTGTTATAACTATAGGGATATTTTTATAAAAAATAATAAATTTCTGATGAAACACTGCAAAAAGTTTTATAGACAGTCATTTTGGCGTCAACCCCTCTGGCAGTGTCACCCAGTACCACTGCAAATCCCTGTACTTCCATAGTGACGCCACTGCCTGAGGACTTCCACTCATTTTACTGAACTTCCATTATTCTGCAAATACTGAAAATCATAACAAATGTCACACTGGGTTAGAGTGACAGTCAGGGGTGAGCAACTGCTCATAACATCTACTACCTCTCTTGTTGGCTTTTGGAAGAGACATATCAGAAGGTAAGACAAAGAAAGTAGGCAAGTAGGCAAACACAATTGCAACAGGATGGGTAGGAAGGGAGGGAAGAAAAGTGCCAGCCTGGGGGCTTCACCCTTCTTCTGACATCCCCTCACTCTTCTGACCATTGCCATATTCTGTTAGAACTGCTAGTTCTGTTTTCAAATGCAGGCCTTGTAAATTCCTGGAGAGCAAGGCCTGCCTAGTCCTGAGCAATGCCCTCAGGGTCTTGCTCAGGCTGGTAGGAACTTGGTAAGCAATCAGTAGCTATCTGTGGTTAATTAAACAGCCTTTTCTATTACTCTAGTAGGGGTTTGGTGGTTCACGGGTAGAATTCTTGCCTTCCACACAGGAGATGTGGGTTCGATTCCGGGCCAACTGCAGCCACCACTTGTCTCTCAGTGGAGGCTTGTGTGTTGCTATGATGCTGGCACTTTTAGACTAAGATGGGCTAGGAAGAAAGGCCTTACAATCTACTTCCGAAAATTATTTAATGGATCGTAATTTCCCAATCCCATTGTGCATGGGGTCACCATGAGTCAGAGGCCGACTCGATGACAGCTAACGACAACAAAATCATCACAAGAAAACTTTAAGTCTAGCCAGGGATCTATTATTCAGATGTCTGGCATATCGTCTTGGGGGGAGGGGGGTGGTATTTAGCAAGAAAAGCACTTACTCTCCATCCATAATGCTCTTCTGAAAGTTTAAGACAGCATGGGTCTTCAACAGCCTACAATACCTTTGGTTCCTTACAAACAAGATCCAACTGCTGCTATGATTCTGCCTTGGCTTTCTGCCTGGTTCTGTAATATCTGAGCAGTAAACCAGTAAACCATAGAGTCAAATCGTACCCACAATGTACTTCTCAGAGTCTTGCAAAAGGACAGGAGTTTGGATAGAATTTTCTCAATGATTCTGCACCCAGTTGGTGTGAGCAAAGACCCCCAAATGCTATTAAACTCCTTAGCGATGTGAACCAGATGGAAAATAAAACAAAAGAATTCACAACTCATGTTCGACTGAATTGAATGTCTTTAATTTCACACAATGAATAACATATGAATAGGATTAACTTTTTTTTTTTTTTTTTTTTTAATAGTTAAGTGCTCTATACTGTGCTAACCTGATCTGGTAGCGAAAAAGACTGAGCTTTCTTTTAGAAAAAAATGTTTAAAACCCAACATCTAAGACCATGGAGGAGCATGACAGTAAAGCATGCCAGATGTATCTACGCCTCAAATAACAGCAAGTCCATGTTCATTTTAAATGTACAAAAATGCTTTATGAATAAAAACTGTTACAAAAAGAACATTTCAAACAATGTACAATTTTTCTTGCCTCTATATTCAATAAAATACAAATACATTTTTTGTTCTAAAATATGTTTACATACAATCAAAGTAGAACATGCAAATTACACTTTAAAAAAGGCTTTTAAAAACCACTTATGAATACAAACTAAAAATTAGCCAGCACGACTTGTAAGACAATCTTGTGCCCATTTTTTTCTTTTGAAATATATATATACATATTTAACACAGCATGTGCATTTATTATTATTTAAGAAATAGATTTTTTTTTAAAAAAGGAAGAAAAAGAAAGACACCAACCTAGGGTGGAACTGCCCTTCCATGTTGACCAACTGGCAGCTCTTTTTCATTTTTCCCCTTTAGTGTTTATTATACCTGGGCAAGTGGGCAAGAGATATCCAGGAAGTTTCTTCCTTGGTTGATATGTGCTTCTAAGACTGTTCCCCAAATGACTGAGCCCAACAGGGAAGAAAGACTCATCAGTGGGGCAAACTCTCTAAGAAACAAGAGGCAGGGGAAGCCTTGTATTGTGGAAAGAAACTTTAAGAAACATCGAGAAAATGCTACGGTATATTACAGTTCGAGTCTCTAGGCACTGTGATGACATTATCTGTAAGCTCTGGCATTTGGACCATTGTGATACCATAGGGTAGTGTTGAGAAGAACATCTATATTTATCTACTTTTACATAATGAGAAGGACTGAAAATCTTGCAACGTAACACCTAAATGGCTTTTGAGGCATTTTGGCTTCTGCCACCCCTTCTCTCTCCATGCTACAGTTGGCATTTAAAGGCTTTGGAAATATATGTATAGACTTCAGACAGTTCCCAGGTAAATCTTCCTAGCGGTAGGGAAAGAAAGAAAATAGTCTCCAAAAGCTCATTATCTGAATATTGTGGGGCAATAAGCTATGAGTGGGATTTTCTACTTAAGTTCTAAAACCAAATCCTTTATGATTTGCATGTAGTACATCACCTTATACTATCTTCTGTCACCACTTGTTTATCGTATTTATAGACCCAGTAATGTGCAGAACACAAATTCCGACTGCCATCGAACATGGCTTGCCACTCCGGACAGCAGCCAAGTTAAAATGCTAATCCTTTGTCAGCCCTTAGTCACCTTCTCTGGGCTGTCAGTGGCTGCTAGTCCCGGTCCTGCCAAATCACAGACCAGCCCCTGACGTCGTCTCCTTTCCATCAGCTTTATTCCTTGGGTTGTAGCCAGAGCTGAGCTATTAGAGGAAGTCAAACTGTTGAGATCAGAGATTGAAAAGCAAGTGGCCTCTCAGCCACTTAGTAAGGAGGATCAGAGGTCCATCACCTTCGGGGACGGTTTTATATCTAGATTTCATCCTGCTCAGACACCCTATAGTCTAACTGGGTTCACCCGTGCTTGCTGAAGACAAGTATTCCAGGATAAACAAAACAAAAACAAGGGGCTTCTCTTGTTAAGAAGTATTATGTGGAGCTGTATACGGAGTCTTGTGTATCCCAAATGATCTCACCACTAAATAAAAATGCAGCCACAGAAGGCAGTGTTGTATGGCCAAAGACCTCTGTAATCCAGGTCAGGAGAGCTGGGTTTTCATTTTGGCTCTGCAAAGAACTAGATGTGAAACTAGCTTGGCCCAATGTCGGGTCTTAGTGGGGGAGGAGAGGCTAATGGAAAAGGGACAGTTGGGGAATAAGAAGATGGTTGTACCAATGAGATGAGTCGAGTTAAAGGAAAGCAAAAGGAAAAAACAACACAAAAACAACACAAAAAGCTGTTCAAGTGATGGACTTATTTCCACCTCCAAGTGGCTGGTTAGCATCTTTCAGCTTTGGTCCTCTGCAGTTTTCTAATCTATTCTTAGGGTCATAAATGTAGAGGATTTGCATTTAACTCACATGAAAAGCATACTCGAATTGACATGTAAATTGCAATGCTGCTATATTTCTCTGCGAATATTTTTCATTGGTTTGGAATTTGTAATGTATTCCAAGGTCATTTGGAATTTCTCATCTACTAGAGGTTAATGCCAATTAAGCTTTGGATTCTCTTTTAAGAAGCGTGGGGAGCACCGGTGTGTTCTCTTGTGTAGAAGGTTGAGCTTGCTCACAGACTTGCTTGGGGTGACAGTACAACAAGGGAAGCAAGAAGGACGAAAAAAGGAATGAAGGAAATGAGTTTCAAAATCCAACAGGAAGAGAAACTGCTTTATGGCTTATCTGGAGTGAAAATGGTCGCTCTTTCATAGCAATGGCGGGGTGAGCGGGGCTAATTTAAGCCTTCCTCTCGGATGATTTTGGAACCATTCAAACACGGCTTGGGGATGACAAATTGAAAATGTATGGTTTGATTTTGCTGTTCAACTTCTGTGAAATGCCAAAGGTCAACCGAGGTCACAAACTGAGTATCTAGGATATAAGCTTTAAAGTACAGGAGATTGCAGTCCTTTAAACTTACATATTGCTAGGATTAAGTGCGACTGACCTGGTGGGCAGCAAATGATGAGAAGTCTACAGGGACAGTACAGAATAGGACGACTATGGGTAATTTCAACCAACTGTTGGTGCCAGGACAGAGCAGGGATGTTAGCCAAGCATATTAACTTGGGATTTTTAAAATTTAGTCTCATAGATAGCCCATCCCTTATTCTCTTAATGCTCCCAAACAAAAATCCATCTCTCTACAAGAAAATAATGTTATGTTCTGAAGTGATAATACAATTTCCAGCCAGTTCCAACTTCCTGTAAAGAAACTTAATTTGGACATAAACCAGATACTCTAATTTCTATTAGAAAATTTAATTCTCTCTCTCAGTGTCTCTCTTTTTATAATTGACCATGGCAGCTGTTTGATGTCTTGGGGGAGGTAAGGGGAGGAGTGAGGGAGGAAATTGAAAATGCTTATTTGAAATTTCCACATCTGATTTTTAGAAAACTTCTACGGCAATGGAATAACTTCATATTCATTTTCAATCTTCGTAACATTTTTTACTTGGGCTGTGAAAATGGATAATAGAGATGGAATATCTGTCCACACTAAACCAATGGCTAGAGTACAACTTGGATGAGAAATGTACAGTTGAAATTGACCATTTAAAAGACGATTTGTCACACACAGTTTGCATCCATGCAGACTGATAGATTTATAATTACATTATGTACAAAAATGTTTCAGTTTATTAAGGCAACCACAATTTGGATTCTTTGTCCAAGGTGGCTTGATATAATTGGAGTGGTGATACCCTTTGAGCATTTTCATTTTTTTTTTCAGATAAGAACACTTACTCCCATTTGCTTTTAAGAAATAATTATCAAGAGATAATTGGACTTCTGTCTTTTTGTTTCCTTTTATCAATGATCTATGATAGTTAATTGTATTAAAAAATCACATACCAAGGCATTGCTAGACGCTTGTCTTTCTGGTGGGCCTAGGGTTTGTTTTTGGTGATTTGTCAGTTATTCCATTTGCTGTGCGATATGAAAGCCATTTTATTCTACCTAGTCTCTGCTGATATGTTTTAAGTATAAAAATAACCTGGTTGACACCTGGGTCAACATATCCTCGGCTGCTCTGATCACTTACTAAAAAGGTCTATCAATATTGAGTATCTGTTGCATAATGATTGGGGTTCAAAGCCAGGTTCCTTGGGACAGCATGCCAAGGGTAAATTTTCCAACATAGGTTAAGGGCAGGTTTACATTATTTAGGTGTGTACCTAAGAAAAAGAAGGCAGCAGGTAGGTTAATGAAAAGGTATGTGGAAGTACAATGGGCAAAGGAAAATGGGTGATGCTGAGTATTAGCGTATGTGTGATAGAAGAGGCAAACAGAAGAATATGAATGCATGTCTACGGTTGTCTATTACTACAATTACACCTCCTGATTCCACGATTCCATCTGAGAAACTGTATTGTTAGCAGGAAGATTTGGGTTACTTGTAGATGACGCTGGTGCCCCAAAGCCTAGCAGAGCTTTAAAACCAAATGAAATGAAAACCAATTAAAGGAAACTGGGTTACAACAAAGCCGGTTGCAAAATCTGCACCTTTTCTCCCCTTGGAATGTTTCCTAATAGAGGGTGTTTCCCTTTGGATTTTCCTGGCCAGCAAATGAAATGGGATCAAGTGTGCGCCTTGGATGCTGTCGCTCAGGTGGCTACTGAGGGTATCACCTGCTCTCTCCTCCTTGATGGGTCTTCTACTCTCCGGTAAATGATCTAGCAATACTGAAGTGCTGCTTGGTTGGGAACCGCTGTAACGCACAGATAAGCTTCTTTTGAAGGTGTCCCTCTCCTTTGCTTTCCCAAGAGCTCCTGATGGCTCAACCCCGTCATCTGGACCAATTCTGCCTGCCCATCTGCGGGAAAGAAGGGCATTGGTGTCCCTGCAGCGGGAATTCCGCTCCCACCCCGGGCTCACTGCACTTCCAATGTGTCAGTCCCCTCAGCCCCAGGTTCAAACGCCCAGACGCACCCTAAGGAAGCACATCACTCTCACTCCCTCGGGATTTTCTCGGCCTTTTGGCCTTCACCTCCTCTTCCTGGGGAAGGGGCTGCTGCGGGGGCGGCTGCTGCGGGGGCTGCGCAGGAGGCTGAGGTTTGTGTTTCCTCTTTCCGCCTCGCGGGGTCTTGGGCAGAGGAGGGGGTGGGGGTGGTGGGGGGGGGGGTGGGGGTGGGAGGGGCGGGGGTGGAGGCGGGGGCAGGGGCGGGGCCTCTCGGGCCATGTGGATGACCGCTTCGATGGTGGCCATGATGGTGTCTTGGCTGGCAGCTGGCTCCAACACTAGTGGGCTCAGGCTGGGCTTCTGACCCCTTTTGCTGGGGAGGTCGATGCATTTTTCCAGCACTGGCATTTGGTCTCTGGAGTCCTCATCGAACTGGGTGGGCTGCTTCCGGGGACGCCCTCTCCTCTTCTTGACAAAGTTGTTGCCTGTCTTTGATTGTCTCTGCAGCCGCTTGGCCTTCAGGATCTTGTTCACGTGGTCCAGGTTCTTCTTGGTGGACAGAATCTTGGTGTAGTTGCACATCTTCCGCACCTCGCACTGGATGGCTTCGATCTCCCGCCTCTTGAATCGCTTCTTCAGGGAGGAACTGGCTGCAAGAGGGGAAGAGAGAAGATATTGAGTACAGGATGCAAACTGCCGTAAATCTAGCCCCTTCGGTGGTAACTGGTATTGTATTTGGCTGTAAAGAGTACGGAGAATTAATGCTGTGGATATAACTCAGTACCCGGTATTTATTCTTCCATTTTATCACAATTAAAAATAATAAAAATAAACACTGGTTGAATATCATGTGTGCAAAGCATTTCTATTTACATTATGTCAGTCCTCACAGCAATCACATGAAATACACTTACTCCTATTTTAAAGATGTGGAAACTGAGGCTCACACCGTTTAGGTGACCCACGGGAAAGCCATGGTAGTCAATGGCGAAATTACAATATAAATTTTGCTTTTGCTTTTCCTATTAGAGTTTTTATTTTTTATTCACCCCTCTGACATTTGATTTGATTCAGATTTGCATTAGATTTTACTTTATCTCTCTTTTTATAGAAGATGTAGAATGAATAAAATGACATACAGCCCATCGTATAAAGCAATATGGAAATTCATATGAACTACCAACCTAGAAAGGGGCCCTGATGATGCAGTGGTTAAAGCGTTTGGCTGCTAACCAAAAGGTTGGTGGTTTGAATCCACCAGCTGCTCCATGGGAGAAAAATGTGGCACATTACATACAGCCTTGGAAACCCTCTGGAGCAGTTCTACTCTGCCCTATAGGGTCACTATGAGTTGGAATCACCTTGACAGCAACGTGTTTATCAACCTAGAGGTCCCTAGGTGAAGCAAACAGTTTGCTCTTGACTGTTAACCCAAAGGTTGGTGGTTCAAACCCACCCAATGATACCTCAGAAAAAATGCCCGGCAATCTGCTTCTGTAAAGATTACAGCCAAGAAAACCCAATGGCGCAGTTCTACTATGTAACACATGGGGTCTCTATGAGTCAGAAATGATTAGTTGATAACAAGTTTGTTTGTTTGTTTAAGTCAACCTAGCAGAACAGATGTATCAACCTAGCAGAAGAGATGTCTTGATTTGATCTAAAATATGTAACTGAACCTAGACAGAGGGGAGGATTACTTCCTCAGGCACTATAGTTGGGATGGTACCATCTCTCTCTATTTTTTTTCCCAATATTCTGGACTTGTCAAATTGCCTGAGGATGTTCAGTTAACCAAGTCCCCCTTAACTGGTTCATCCTCTGTGGGCCTCAAGGGAAACATCAGCGAAGTGTTTCTGAATCATTTACACTCTTGCTACTGGGCTGTTGTTTGCAAAGAGCTCTCTTCATATCCTGGTGCCCAGATGCATCTGTATTTTACGAGTCAAACTTCTCTTCTCAGAAAGTCCTGTACTGTTGCACTAAATGGCTTCAGAACTGCTTCATTTTGAAGTTCAGACACCATAAAGTGTGAATGGCTTCAAGACGGGGCAGACCTTTCCTCCTTTAGATCATTCTTCCTCATTGTGTTGTTCATGAGTAGACACGCATGTACACATACACACACACACACTCACACTCGTACTTTCCTGACCCGTTTCCACACAGCCCGCTCCTTCTGGCCATTTAGAAACTTAAGAAGTGTGTCCTCACTTAGCTCCTTGCTGCTGTGATTTACCCTAAACGCTTAATGCTGAAGAAGCCCAAGGAGACGTTGACCACTCCTAAATGCTGTAGGCTTAAGGGGAAATGTGTTTCATTTTAGCATCTTGGTTTGTTGTGTCATCCATTATTTTTCCATCTACTAATGGAGAAGAGGAATAAATATGTCACGGGAGAGGAGGAAAAAAAAGTTAAAACATGAAAATCACTCTCACATATTCTTTGGCACTTCCACTTCATTCTTTCCTCTGCTTTGCCCCATTTCTCCCTCGTGCTGTGTCCATTACACATCTCCAGGAAGGTTTATTTGAAATCATCTATGCCACTTACTTCATGGAATGGGAAGCTCTGAGTTCCAGAAGCCAGGGCAAAGTATTATCGCTCTTGGCCAAAGGTCTTGTAAGACTTGCTAAGCAATGAGTAACTACTGAACGATCTTTAAAATAAGTTATAAAGATCAAAACAGAATGAAGCCAGAGTGAGATCTGGACTATAAAAATAAAATATTTTATAGTTAGTGTTAAAGAAGCAAAAGGTTGCTCGATTTTGAGTTCTCAGATGCAGAGACCAAATCTTGTCCATCTTTATATCCCTCAGGGGCCTAGAATGGTGCCACATACATGGAAGGGATTTACATATTGTTTTTGAAGACTCAAACTAATCATTGCTGTCTTATAGTCTTGTTCTCTAAATTAATTATAGTTTGGATTTTCTAAGTAACCAATGCAAATACTGTGACAATAAGAGTTAGCATGCCTTCATGTCAGACAAGTAATTTACCTTGTCCACAGTTCAAAAGAAAATGAGAACTAGCCAGAAATACTCCATGAAACTTCTAGCATTATTCCAAATACAGGCTCTATTTGCAGTTTACTTTCGCTTTAGTTTATACCAGCCTTGGGAAAAACCAAACCTGTTGCTGTCCAGTTGATCCAACTCACAGAGACCCTGTAGGACAGAGTAGAACTCCCCCATAGAGTTTCCAAGGCTGTAATCTTTACGGAAGCAGACTGCCACATTTTCCTTCCTCAGAGTGGTGGGTGAGTTTGAATCACTGATCTTCTGGTTAGCAGTCAAGTGCCTAACTACTGTGCAACCAGGGCTCCTTTATACCATTCTTAAAGAAAGAAGCCCCGGTGGCACAGTGGTTAAGTGTTTGGCTGCTAACCAAAAGGCTGGCAGTTCAAATCCACCAGCTGCTCCTTGGAAACCTTATGGGGCAGTTCTACTCAGTCCTATAGAGTCACTATGAGTCAGAATTGACTTGACAGCAATGGGTTTTTAGAGAAAGAAAATGCTATGTGATATCAATAAATCATTTTGGGCAATTAGTCGGCAATATTTGACTGAGTCAAGCACGATTGAAATATTTCATGAGTTGGAGGTCATTTTGGAATGTCTCTGTAAGTGTTTTTTTCTTTATAGAGTAAAATGCATTAAAAAAAAGAAAAAAAGAAAACAATTTTGAAAAAGGAAGAAAAAACTTAGTAGATCATCTCATATTTAGTAATTTGTTATATGCTGCATAAATTTTTATTATTCTCACATTAAAATGATTATGAAATAAAAAATGCTGAGTAGTGTAAACCTACAGAAAAGTACTAAACAAATAATCAACTTCTGTGTACCCACCATTCACATTTAACAAAAGTACACTTTTTGTCATATTTGCTTTTTTTCTAAAGAGAAAAAAAAAAACAAAACGAAAGTATACTTTCAGTTATTACTCCATTCCATTCCCTTCCATTTTCATGCTTGTATTTATAGCTGAACTCATATTGGTAAAAATGTAAAAGCGTGAAACCACCTCATGTTGGTAATGATACGAGAAACTGGGAACTCTTTTTTTAAAATTTTATTTATTTTGTCTAGTTGTTGAGAATATATACATACACCAACAGTTTCTACAAGTACTGTTTAGTAACACTGATTATATTCTTCAAGTTGTGCAATCATTCTCACCTTTCTTTTCTGAGTTGTTCTTCCCCCATTAGCATAAATTCATTGCACCCTAAGGTTCCTATCTAATCTTTCAAGTATCAGTTTGATCCCATATAGATACTTCTTAAAAGAGTATAATGCTCAAGGCAGATATTTTTTATTAATTAAGCTAAACTACTGTTTGGTTTTAGGATTTCAGGGGACATTTTTGGTTTAAGGTTAAAGATTATCTCAGGCAAGAGATATCCCAGGGGTTCATAAATCTTCATGGCTCCAGGAAGTCTGGAGTTTATGAAAATTTGAACTTCTGTTCTGCATTTTCCCCCTTTTGATCAGGATTCTTCTATAGACTCTTTGATCAAAATGTTCAGTAAATGGTAGCCAGGCATCATCCAGTTCTTCTCATCTCATGGCAAAAGAGGTTGTTCATGGAGGCAATTAGCCACACATTCCATAACCTCCTCCTACTCCTGACTCTCTGATTCTCGCTCTTCCTCTGTTGCTTCAGGTGAATAGAGACCAATCGTTCTGCCTTGGATGGACGCTTGCAAGCTTTTAAGATCCCAGGCACTATGCAACGAACTAGGAGGTAGAACAGAAGCACTAAATATCCTGATTAACTGGGATGCCCTATGAAACCGTGACCCTAAACCTCTAAAACAAGGAACCAAATTTCATGAGGTTTTTGGTTGTACATAAGCAGCCTCAGTAGCCACTCCTTTTTTTGGTCCTTGTTGTAACTATATCTATCATACAACTTTTGCCAGTTCAACTTTTTACAGGTGTACAACTTACTGACAGCAATTAAAATAATCGGCTGTGCAACCACACCCTTAATCAATGTGATCTCTCAGTCACCATTAACACCCCTTTCCCCCCCACCCCAATAACCAATAATACACTTTGTTTTCAATACATTTGCCTTTTCTTGCCTTTTTACATAAGTGAGATCATACAATATTTGTCCTTTTGTGATTGACTCATTTCACTCAGAATAACTTCTTCCAGCTTCATCCATATTGTAGCATGTATCAAGACTTTATTTCTCCTACTGGCTGAGAAGTATTCCATTGTATGTATGTACCACATTTTGTTTGTCCATTCGTCTGTTGATAGGCATTAAGGTTGTTTCCGCCTTTTGGCTGCTGTGAATAGTGCTGCAATGAACGTTCATGTACAAGTCTCTGAGTCTCTGCCTTCAATTCTTCTGGGTATATACCTAGGAGTGGAATTGCTAGGTAATATGGTAGTTCTATTTTTAGTTTTTTAAGGAACCACCACACTGTATTCCACAATGCCTATACCATTTTGCATTCTTACCAGCAATGGGTAAGGGTTCCAATTTCCCCACATCCTCGCCAACATTTGTTATTTTCTATTTTTTTTTTTTTTTTAAATCTTAGCCATCCTAGTGGGAGTGAAATCGTATCTAACTGTGGTTTTGATTTGCATCTCTCTGTTTCTCTGATGGCTAATGACGCTGAGC